TTCTTTTTAAGTCAAATTTTGGCACCTCGATTTCGTTAATTATCACAAAGCTCAAAGTACAGCCAGGAAGAGAGGCAGGCCCAAAACATTATCACGCACAAAAACACAACTGATTTTCCATTTCTGACCTTGACTTGACCATTTTCAAATTTGGAGGATTTAAACAATTAAAAAAAGAAAGAAAAAAAAAGTCCTGCTTAAATTAAAAGAACGCGATCTATCTGCACTTATAGGACGCAACCCCCCGCCCCAAATAAAACTGCTCCCAGATCGGGCCTACATACCCGCCCAGGTATTCTTCACTGCGGGCTACAGCCGTGAGAAAAATCACTGACCCGCTGGGGGAAAGCGCGGCTCTTTTCCTGACATGCTCTTTCTGTCCCAAACTAGGAAGACCGGGGCCATTATTGCGTCAAATGCGATGATCGGGTAGGTGAAGTATGTGACCGTGACTCAGCCTTGTTTCCGAGTTTAAAAGTTAAAACCCCGATAAAACGAAAAGAAACCACGAAAAACACAAAGATCATCTCCACCGTGTCCACTTTCCCTCTTACCTTCATGTCATAGCGCGTCAGTGGGGTCCCAACTTGGGGAAGCTTTGGGTAGAATAAGAAACGCCTCCGCCTCTCGGCATATCCCGTAGCTGTCGCACAGAGAAGAACTAGTGGAGAAAGATATTTAAAGCCCAAAGCAGTCAGCGAGAAGCGCACGGACTGTGTAAGAATCCCAAACTACGGCGCGGAGGCGGAAGCTGCTGTTTAGTTTGTTATCAAACTAAGTTGTGTGTGCTTATCACAAATCCAGGCACTGAGCCTGCAGATGGCACAGCCCCCTATAAACACGCGAACACACACAGTAAAAATGGATGGATGGAGAGAAGGGGAGGGAGGGAGGCCTGCTCGGTGCATGCAGAGTCAGACTTAACTCTTTCACTGCCTGATGGAAAATCATCTGTCGTAACTGAAGCAGGTGATCACAGCACATGCTGAGGAATCTCTCTTTTTCTCTGCCACAAACATTCACAAGCTTAAAACAACTAGAACTGTGTGTAATTTGCGAGTGGTGCAAACACACAGCTAGACCGATGTACAATTTTGTACTGTGAGATAAGAGCAAATAATCTAAGCCAGGCACAGATCTTTTCACAGAAAGTCAGCGCTGCAACACTTTTTGAGTGAACATGCTCTCCCATGGGGGAGTGTACAAAGAACTACACTTCCTTCCCACCAGCTTCTTCCATGCATTTCTGCTCTTTACTTATTTATTACCACTAATGGGTTCTTGTCTGAACTCCCATCCTTGTGCATTAAGACCTCAATCTGCTCTGTATTCACTCTGGCTTGGACTCAGACAAATGCACAGTGTAATCTGAGGGTGTCTGTATGAACATACAGTGAGTGCAAAATGATTATCTAACTAAAGGGAGAAGCTGCTGGCGAGAGAGCAGCGGGTCTTGTGGTTGACGGAGCAGGATATACAGGAAATACCAGCTCAACCTTGTAACAACAAAAACACTCCTGAAGACAACTGAAGGGCAAAGTGCACAGGAATTAAAATATCATCAAGCGATATGACGTATGATTTGGGGTTTAAAAATAATATATATATATCTGAAATAAGTGTGCACTGCCCAGCCCTGTGTGTAGGAATGTACTATTGCTTGCTGCAGCCGCCCTGTTCACTTTCACTGATCCAGTCAGTCAAGCTCATTTCATATACCTCTTTCAGCCCTCCTCCTCTCTGTCTTTATTTCTCCTCAAAACAGATGCCTGAACATTCTTTGTTCCCCAACAAAGGCGTGATGAGGTCAGGACAGGGGGGACATGCAGGCGAGGGCTGGGAAAACAGAGGGGGAGGAGAGAGGACGGCCAATGATGACGTCATGCAAGAAAGGCAATCAGACTTCAAGTGTGTGTGCACATGTGTTACTTCTGGAGACATTAATCTATTAACAGTCTTATACCTCCTGGGGACACCTCCCTTACAGTGAGTGTGTATAATGTAAATTACTACACTGAAAGGAAGACTTAGATTATGGTGGTTATAGCTATAGTAAGTCTCAGGGATATTAACATGACATCCTATTTCATCAAAAAAAAAGCTGGATTTTTTAAACTGTATAGTGTAATAATGCAAAGAATTTAAATATAATTTAACCATAAAGTTTATTAAAACTGTTACAGACATGATTAAAACTAAGAATTTGGCACACAAGCCTAATTCCCAAAAGTTACCAGACTCTGTAAAATATAAATAAATACAGAATAAACACATATTTTATTCACAGTAGAACATAGAACACATATCAAATGTACAATTATAAGAACAATATTAGCTCCACTTTGAATTTCATGGCAGTCTTTTGGGAGAGGAATGTTGTTCCATTCTTGTCCGACAGCCCTTGGTCTTGTTTCCGTATTTTATGTTACAAAGACGGCAGTGTGTCCCAGTGATGTTCACATATGGCTTCTTCTTTGCATGTCAGAGCTTGTTGCAGATTGGTGAACCTCCGCCCATCTTCTGCTCTGAGAAACTGCCTCTCTAAGATATTCTTTTTATATCCAATCATGTTACTGACCTGCTGCCAGTTAATCTCATTAGTTGAAAAATGTTCCTCAAACGGTTTCTTTTTAATGTCACTTACTTTTCCAGCCTTTTTGTTGCACTGATCACAACTTTTTGAGAGATGTTGCTGCTATTAAACTCTAAAGGAGCTCAAATTTTCACAAAAAAGTCAAATGTCTTTATAGTTTAAACATTTATATGTTTTCTATTATATTGTGAATAAAATGTGGGTTTATGAGATTTGCAAATCATTGTATTCTGTTTTATTGACAGCATATTTAAAAGTATTTGAAAAAAATATATGCTTAATTTAATTCAGTACCAGCAACATATTTTTTTAAAAAGCTGGATGCTGTGACATCAGAGCTAAAGAAGAGAGCCTTGTTTTCAGTGCACAGTTCTAAGGTTACATCTGTGATCATGTGCGGTGCTGCAAACAACATGGATAACTTGCTCATTTGTGAAAGGTCCATTAAACAATAATAATAAACAATTTGAATAGGTTTTGGAGCAACATATGCTGTCTCTCAAGGAACATTGTTTTTTTCAGGGAAAGCCTTGCTTATTTGAGCATGACAGCACCAAACTACATTTAGCATGTAGTAAAAGAGTCAGCAATCTAAAGTGGCATCCAGACCAGACCAATCACAAAAGGAACACAGCAGGGAGGATAAGACACTCTGACTAAGAACTCTGACAAAGGAGGGCTCAGGCTGTTGTTTAGGTAAACTGCTACATCAAGCAAAGAATGCTAAAAACAACAGCTAAAATAAGAGGCCATGCAAGACAAAGGAGCAGGGTTGAAAATGGGTGTAATGTCCTGTAATGTGTATGAATTGGAATAATAATTTACTTTTAGTTAATTGCTGCTGCAACAAAAGCAGCATGATGTGCATAACCATAATCAATTCCTTTCCACTGGTTAATCAACTAACTTCATCTGTTTGTCTCTGGTGCCCTCTAGGGGCAGTGTTTTTTGTCTCCTTCTTATGTCCTGAAAACAAAAAAAGAAAATCTGCAAATTTTGCACAATGCGAATCTCAAGTATATGCTCTGATCAAAACCAAAGATGCACTAAAATACGTGGATTCGTGTTTCTGCTCACTTTATTAAGCTCACTGTTACTGTTAATGGAAAATTTTACAATATAATTTCGAAAAACGCAAACTAGCTAATATATTCACGAGCTCTCTCAGACTTTTGCACCCCATTAGTATTTCTAAAAGTATATCAGTGTTCCATTATGTACTGCTGATAGCACCTATTTAGAAACCAACCATCTACTAGTACATTATCAGCTACTATGGCTGCTTATATTACATTATTCATCACAACATGGTTTTCAGCTGTAGCACTAAAGTGCACTTATTAGAGTGAGACTGCAATCTCCATGGCGATCAGCTAGTCTTGTATATATAACTGCATGTTTTTCAGGTTCAAGCAAGAAACCATTATGTGGGCTGTCCATTCAAAGTGTCCTTGGATTTTGAGAATAGTTTGATGGAGGGAAAAAAAAGGCTTTGTATCATGTTCTGACTTCTGCACTGAGCTCACAAATGATTTGGTATGCTCCAGTGATACACCTTCTCCCTAAAACATCAGCATATCTCTCCTCCAGAAATACAAATTTGATTTATATGTTAGTGTACCGTGGAAAAATAACATTAGCTTTCTGACTCCGGAGGTTCTGCAGAGGACTCATCGCCAGGTCATCTATGATTCATAAAGCAAAGAGTTGCTCTGTTTCAAGCTTCAACACTCGAAAAAGTCGTGAGGAATTCAGAAAATAAAGGGGCTTCCAGAGTATGCGATCACAGTTCAGGAATAATAAAATCCGTCATGCACAGATTTATGTCGGGCGGTGCAGGGACGTGTTGTTAAGTGGGATTTGTTATGAAAACACTGTGGAACTGTTAAATAACAGATATAAATATATATACGGCAAATGGCTAATGTCTCCGTGACAGCGTTTCAGGAAAAGAGGATAAGAGGATAAACAAAATTAATTTGCGCTCGCACGTCACACCTCAATTGTCCATGATATTGGCAATTATCTGTACTCTGTCTACCAAACATTTACCCAGAATTAGACAGGAAGCACCTGCAGGTCAAATGCTAAAAATAGAAACGTGCCAGAACAGATCAGAGTGTTTCGTGCCCCCCCTCCGAACAAAGTAAGATCGTAATTTAAAACAATCCGGATAACTTTCAGAAAGCTGCAATGCACCAACTGAAAAAAGTCTACTGTATATTTCTAGACCAATCTAGCACTTTTGTCTTCCTCCAAAGGAATATTTTTCACAAGCGGGGGCCGTGGGGGGCTCCGTGCTTCTATAAAAGGAATGCATTTTGAATGAGCCTGCTGACGCAGAAACTGTGGGTGTATAAGAGATGACACTCGGCTCTGTTTCGCTGGACACATGGGAAAGCAACTGGGTTGGTGAGGTTGTGATTGTCTCTCGGTGACTGGAGACTCTTGAAAGAGCACAAGAGATGAACACAACTGAGAAGTTTTATCTTCCCGTTGATGGCATTCTCGAAATGTTGAACTCTCTCACCGGGCATCTACAATCAAGCATTACGCACCCAGATCTTCAGAGCACCTCACTCGGTCCAGTGCTCCAGCACCCCAAAGTCTCAAACATAGCGACAGGCATGGGGCTCGTCAAAAGGGTTAAGGGGTGCTGGAGACAGCAGGATACGAGGATAGTTGTGAGTAGATCCTCAAGTTCTGGCAATCGGCAAGTGTCGGCTGATCGACTCCCGAAGAGGTCCGTGGACCTGCTGGAGTTGCGTTTGACCAAGCCCAGAAATTGTCATAGAATAGTTGTGCTTGGTGCGCCCAGAGTGGGTAAAACAAACATCCTCCGGCGGTTCATGGGGAAAGACTTTGAGGAGAGCTATGAGCCCACAATCGAAGACTTCCACAGAAAGCTGTTCCACATAGGAGGAGAGGCATACCAGGTCGATCTTCTGGATGCGGCAAGTGAGAGGGACTTCCCTGCCAAACGCAGACTATCCATCCTGACAGGTTAGGAATCAGTGCTGTATTAGATCTGTTTTTAAGGGATGTTGTTTTTTTATATTTTGAAAATGAATGCTAACTACCTTAATTTACATCTGATGTTCTTTGTCTCTCCAGGTGACATTTTTCTGCTCGTCTTCAGTTTGGATGACAGAGAATCTCTGAGTGAAGCCTGTGAGCTGCTCAGCGAAATCAAAGCTGCTAAGGCAAAGTTGCTGAAATTAAAACAGCCAGTGAGAGTGCCGGTCATTGTATGCGGTAATAAAGGGGACTTAGACTCAGAGAGAGTCGTGAGACGGCCAGACGTGGGGAAAATCCTCGGCGAGGATATCTCATTCTTCGAAACCTCTGCTAAAACCGGCACCGGGCTGGACGCGATGTTCAGAGCCCTTGCCTCTCTGGGTGGACTACCTCACGAGACCAGTCCATCGCGACATCAGGTCATACCCATCCTCACCTACCGGTCGCTGTACGTCGGCCAGCGGGGCAGGAGGGGTAGCCGTACGCGGGTACTCTCTGCGCCCTGTGCCGCAGTGGACCCTCTGGCGCGCCGCCCGAGCTTCAATAGCGACCTGCAACTCGTGCTTGGATCAAGCACCAAACACAACAAACCCGAGAAGTGTCAGATTCAATGAATTGTGAGACTTCTCGACAAACAAATTGTAGTAGTACGCTGCAATATGGTATACGTAAAGAGTTATACTCTGTAGCACCTGGCTGGACCAGTGCATTCTTATCGTGTTTTTTGTATATCCCTGCTGTATAACCCTATAATAAAAGCTGAATATTTCCAACTATCTTGCGTGTTTTGTGTCCTTGCTTTCGATCCTTCCGTTTGTTACAAAACATTTAAGAATCTCTTCACAAAGAGACGGGCACGGCCAGATTACGCACACTGACGTAAGCAGTCACTTCTCTTCGAGTGATGATGTAAAAACCTCGAGTGTGGGAGGGAGTTCAGAGCCATGGGTGGATGATTCAAACGCAGACCTTCAACATCTTCCAGTATCTGTTGTCAGTCTCGAGAGTTTTTGCACGGTTTGTTTAGAACGCCCACGGCTTAGTGAATGGCTTAAAGTACAGAGGTGCTACAATGCCTATTAATCAGCCGAGGTGGTGTACGCGTTTGTGTGTCACCATGGCAGTTGGAGGAAACAATGAGTGATAGCGCATGATTTATTAAAGAGGGGAAGGTGGGCGAAAGGAGAGAGACGGAGTGAGATCAGCACCATGGAGAGAGCACAACGATTATTCAACTCGGCATTTAATATTACTGACACTGACAAGAAGTTCAGTATATTTGCTTAAAATAAACCTCTCCAAACAGTAAAACTGAAGTGGATCAATAAAACCCACTTTGGAAAGCTAAACTAAAAGTTTACTGACAAATTTGTCTGGTACATTCACAAATGAGCATCAGAATGGGAACGAAAGGGGATTTAAGTACCTCTGATCACAGTGAACCCATCTTCTAATGGCTGCTAAGGCTTAAATCATCTCAAACTGGTGCTCAACATGCCTCCAGTCACCAGATTTCAATCTACAAACAAGGTTTAAAAGGTGCCGATGTACGCGCATGTACTTTTTAAGTGACAGGGCACTAGCTGGGTTTTCAATACACAGTTGAATCATAAAGATCTGTATTTCCAGACCTAGTTCATGGAAAAATAATAATGTCTGAATATGTCTCATGACAGTAAAGTTCCTTGAGATAAGACTCAATCCTTTTAAATGGACTAAATATTTATTATTTATTCTCTCATGAGGGGGAGTTTTATATATATATATCTAGATATCCCTTTACTCACCAGGAAATTAATGTTCATCCATCTGGTAAGATTTCCAGGGATTTGAGAAGACATGCAGTACCTGCAGTGGTATCAATAAAGTCCGAGAACAAAATGATTGCTTACTCGGAGGCTTTACTTGGTATAATATAATTTGTTCACCCTCTAAAACTTCCCACTCACCGTGTACATTTGCTGAAAAGACTATGACATCAATCCAAAATAATTTCCTGTTTATTGTCAGAGGTATAATTATGATTAAACGACAGCAACAGCAGCAATTAAAGCTTTAGTGCAAAGTGTATCCGTTGTAGTAATGACTGCATGAAAGCATCTGGAGACTTAAATCCAAGACTCGTTCTAACCGGTGGGAGAGGCAACACGGACATAACACAATATGCTCGATCGCTGCTGGGCTGCAGTCATTAAAGATAAAGTCACGTTTGCAATGGTATGGAAAATGATGAAGAGCCTTCACTAACACGTTTAAAAGGTGTACCAAACAAAACTGTTGGTTTTTATATGTTTTGACAGCCACGAGCGTATCTGCTTTATAAACATTTGTGTCATTGAAGGTTGGAGGTGTTCTTGGTTTGTCTGCCAGCAGACTCAGAGTGGTTCCTGTGAGGCTTTGGGGGAAATTTGTCTTTCCAGCTCCACCAGGAGAGCTGGAAGGATGCTGTCCAGTAAGGCCAGTCCTTCCCAGGAGCACCTCAGACCTCTGACAAGGAAAAAAGAAAAAAGAGACACAAATGATTTAACCTTCAAGCTGTAGAGACGTTTTAAATACCGTGTGCTGGGGAAATCAGAACAGACTATTCCCCTTATTTTCTGTCACCTCATGCACCAAACAGTTATATAATAAGGGAAATATAATCAAATAATAAAAACAATTGTTAGGTTGGCTTCCGCACAGGTAAGGAAACTTAAAGAGAAAATTAAACATCATAAGTCACCTGTCATCGAGAATCAGCTGTCCGCTCTGGAGCAACTCTTGGACGACAATGGATTCACCAAAAACTTCATCAAGGCCAGTTTGTGGGCTGAACATCTCCCAGTGCTGTTAACATAATTTTTTTTAAAAAGTCTCTGTGAACTGAACATTATCTGCCGTGACAGAAAATACAATGAAAGATTTATTTTGTGTGCTTTACCTTATGATTAATGCCCTCAGTCATTCTCATTCCCATCACCAACACCTCCTCCAATCTGCCAAGCAAACATCTTTCATAACTTAAACTGAATACAGAACAGCAAGGACAGAACAGAAAGAGTAAAAGGCCTGAATACAAGTCTCATAATAGCATCTCACAAGGACAGAATGTTTGAGAGAACAAGCACATGTGCCACGGCCTCAACGCTCAGTGTGATAAATTACACTGTGGACTGTCTCAGGCTTCACTGCTACATTTCACATGCTCAGAGCATTTCTGGGCATCTGTCTCTGCCTGGAAGTGCAACGGCGTACAATTCAAGATGGCCAAGCGGAAGCCGCCTCCGCGTCCCGTGTCCCCAATGCCGCACTTCACGGATCCACACGTCAGGCTCCAGAGTCTGGGTCCGGGCCTCTCGAACAACACCTCCCTCCCCCAGAGGAACAAACCGCCCATGTGCTCCTGTGTCAGAGACAACAATATAAAAAGCACAGTTTCCAACAGGAGCATAACCGGAGCGATTTAGTGCTTTAGATCCAAGTATTACCTGGGCCGACACCGATGTATTGGTTGCCTTTCCAGTAGCTGATATTGTGATGACTCACTGAGTTCTACATTACACAGAGAAAAACATTTACTGAGTGTTTATGAGGGTGAATAGTAAAACTGTCATATTATGGAGATTTAATGAAGACAGAAAACCAAACACAAAGTTAAAAAGAAGCTTAAAAATACAACTTAGTAGACTCTGCTGGGAAAAACAATATAAATCTTTGGTTTTCGATAGAACTGGACATTTAAATCTCGCTCAATAACCTCGAAAACATCCGATGACTCTAAATTATACAAGAAAAATATGGATGCCTATAAAACAGAGGACTGAACATGTAGTTTGTTGTACGTATTTTGTTTTTTTACAATTAAGAGTGAAGGAAGACCTTTTTTTTTTTGCATGAACTGTAAACAGTGAAGCCACTATCAGTCAGATTGAGATGACTTGAGCTTTGTGATATGGCACGTTATTCTGAAAGCAGTCATCAGAAGATGACGACACTGGTCGTAAAGCGATGGACACAATGAGTGACAGCACTCACATAGACTGTGGCGTTCACCATTATAAACCACCAACAACCTGAACTGTTGCTACAAGGCAGGATGGATCCATGCTTTCATGTTTATGTCAATTTCTGACCCTACCATCCGAAAGCTGCAGCAGAAATTGAGAATCATCAGATCTGGCAACATTTTTCCATCTTCTATTATCCAATTGTGGTGAGACCGTGGGAATTGTAGCTTCAGTTTCCAGTTGTTAGCTGACAGGATGGTATCTGGCATGCTTCTTTAAGATTTGGTGTGGTGTGCAGTCAGAGATGCTCTTCTGCAACGAGTGGTTATCTGAGTTACTGTTGCCTTCAAGTCAACCTGGTCATTCTCTTCTGACCTCTTAACATTAACAAGGCATTTTCTACCAAGGAAGTGTTGCTGAGTGGTACTTTCACATTTTCAGGCCATTCTCAGTAAACCCTAGAGATGGTTGTGTGGGAAACTCGCAGCAGATCTGCAGTTTCTGAAATACTCAGAGCAGCCTGTCTGGCACAAATAACAATGCAACATTGTGAGTCACTGAAATCAGCGCTCTATTAAATCTGATGCTCAGTTTGAATTTCAGCAGGTCGTCTTGACCGTGTCTACATGCCTAAATGCAATGAGTTGCTGCCACTTGATTGGCTGGCTAGGTATTTGTGTTAATAAGCATTTAAACAAGTGTACCAAGGAAGTGTTTTTCTTTTATTTATTTTCTCTTTTCATTCTCCGAACCTTCCTTCGATTTAACATATCATTTTTGTGTATAAAACGGATGCATGATAAGGTGAAGCGTTAAAGTACGGTTTTGTTACAGCAAAGACTTACATGTCTTGCAAAATTCGACACCTCGTACTGTTGAAAGCCATGCTGGTGCAGAGTCTTCCTGGCGCGCTGGTACATTTCTGCTGTCACATCCTCGGAGGGCATCGTCACTGCACCGCACTCAACCTGTTTAAAAAGCTGAGTGCCTCGCTCCAGGGTCAGCTGGTACAGAGACACGTGATCATCACACACCCTCAGCAGCTCAGACAACTCTATTTCCCAGGATTCAACTGTTTGTTTGGGACGTCCGAACATGACATCCACCGACACCCGACCAGGGCACAGCCTCCTGGCCTCTTCGATAGTCTGCAAAGCCTTGTGGGAGTCGTGGTCTCTTCCCAGACTTTTCAAGTCCTCATCCTGCAAAGACTGAAGATAGAAAGTTTGATCAGAGTTGTTCCATAAAATGAAAAAAGTTCTCACCTTACCCTTTCAGAATCAAATTATTAATGCAATTTTCAGAGTTACATCACCTCATAATACATATAAGTGGGTCAACATTTTTGAATTGTGTTATTTTTCCAATATTATCGAGTCAGGAGATAGACAGATGGAAAGATTAAGCTCTGAAAACACATTTAAGCTCTGTTCCAACTGAAATCTACAATATAAAATCCAAATTGCAATTTTCATTGCATGCAATTTAATGTCTATGATGCAGAGCAAAAGAAACAAGCGCTGGTACCCTAGATGTGTGATTTGGACCTGACAGGACTAAACTTCAAAAAGTGCGTTTTAAATAAATGTCATCACACAGAAGAGGGAATTTAAAAAAAAACATGAACACAATGATAGGCCTTGAGTGTAACGTTGCAACCAACCACTAAATGCTTTGAGTACAACAGCTGGAAGGCCCTGCTTTTCCATGGGCTTTCATGAGCACCCGAGGATTACGCTCACCTGGACCCCGATGGAAAATCGGTTCACCCCGGCACGGCAATAGTCCTCTAACCTGGACTTTCCCGCAGGAGTGGGGTTGACTTCGAGGGTGACCTCGGCCTCATCCGAGAGATTCACCTGCCTGGAAACAGTCTCGAGGATCGCAGCAAAGATGGAGGGGTGGGCCAGGCTTGGAGTCCCACCACCAAAGAACACTGAGGTGATGCTACAAATGAAAACCAGAGTGTGATCTCAGCTGCAGGTTACAGTTACTGATTGTCAGGTTTAATAAATGCACATACCAGGATACTTGACTGAGTCGCAGTAGTGTCTCAGTCTCCATCTGAAGGCACTTAGTCATGATATGGTCATTGTTCTCTTTGGATATGTACTTATTGAAATTGCAGTAGGAGCACCTCCTGAGACAGTAAGGCCACTGGGGGAGGAAGAACCTTATAGTCATGACACAGCCCACTTATGCTTAAATCAGGTGAGTCAACATGCAGTTACGGATACATGTGCGCGTGATGTTCTCAGAAAAAGAAAAAAAGAAGCTATAGCTCACGTGCACATAAAGAGACGCGCGCTCTGTGATTTGTGGAGATGCCGCACATTCAGACACATCTTCGGTTACTTCTCCGCCCGAGAAGTGCCGCAGTCGGGGAGGGAGGACACGACTGACCGCATTTAATGTGCGTCTCATCATTTTGGAGACAGCGTTTGTTTCGCCACGGGAGATTACATTCTCCGACCCGAACCAGAGGTTACCTCAATACCCGGCTTCATCACTCAAACGGTATGCGTTTCTGTGACAACAAAGTAGCTACAAAATAGCGTAAATTCACTTTGTATTTACGCTATTTGAAGGTGCCGTCAAGTCGCTCCAACCGGAAATACATGGAGCGATTTCCTCTTCATGTTCCCGGTTTGGCCACAGCGGGGCGCTGTTTTACCACAGTAAGAAATACCCGAAGCACAAGAGGGTCAGCCAGGTTTTTAGGTTTGCAACGTTTGCTTTTGGTGAAAAATATGTATTTTCACACAAAATCTTTTCCAGTTTTACCCAAAACATGAAAACGTTGCAGCGGTAAGGATTTAAATATATTCTAACGCTAAAGTAGAAATGGAAAGAAACTCCTTGAACTCTTGGGATTTATTATATAACCATGTATGACCTTTACAACCATTAAACACTACGATCAATGTTATGTCATAACAAATCTCTGTAAGTACCATCTGCAGTTATCATTATTATCGCAACATTAATGAACTCCTTGCTTGTGTGGGACTTGCACATGTGTTATGTAACTATGAGACTATCAAAATGAATTATTTCTTTGTTTTTCTTTTCTTTTCTTTTTTTTCACATTTCAGGTATAACTGTAATACACTCATATTTATATAGCATTTTCCCACTCTTACTAACCACTCAAAGTGCCTTTAAATTTCATACTGAATGGCCCTAGCCAGGATTGAACCAGGAACCCTCTCTCTGTGAAGTGAAATTGGTAATCATTGGCATCAAGGCACTCTTTGACCTCTGCTTGTCATGTAGGGTTATATATTATAACTCCTATTCTTTCTTTGCACTAACCTGGTCAAATGTGGCCCTTGAACTCTGTCACCACCATCCCATAACAGACAAGGCACACACAGTTTTGAAGTTTCAAGAGTCCCTAAAATTCATAGTTTTCCTTGATTTTACTAATGGTAGTGAATCTGAAATACATTTGGATAGATACAGGTCAAATCTGACCCCAAATAGCCTCACTATATATAAAATTTGCAAAAGAATCTAACAGTATTAAATATTTATAACACGTAGGGTATTTTTGCTGTTGTCAAAGTTTAAAATGGTTCAAATTTGACAACATGCTGGAAGGTGAATAGTATTGTTAGTATTCTATGATTTAGAGGCTGATTTCAGGCTATTTCTGATTAAAATATGATTTATATGGGCCTTATATTGAAAATGATGCAGTTTATTTAGGAGCCTATGAATCATAAGTAATTTTTGTTGGGCACACCTGTTCAACTGCTTGTTATTACTTCTAGGCTGAACTACATTCAGCATTATCAAGATGTCCTAAAACTCTCTGAAAAGGCTTCAGCTGATCCAAAATGCTGCAGCAAGAGTTCTGACAGGGTCCAGAAAGAGACAGCTTGTCTTCATTGGCTCTCTATTAAATCCAGAATCGAATTTACAATTCTGATCCTAACATACAAGGTCTTGAATACTCAGCCCCCACTTTATCTTAAAAACCTCACAGTACTCTATCACCTCTACAGAGCACTCTGCTCTGAGACATTGGGAGACAGGCACACTCTCTACTTTTAAGATTAGGCTTAAAACTTTTTTTTAAGGCTTAAAGTTTATAGTTAGGGCTGGATCAGATAACCCTCAGTCCTAATGTAAACCTTCCCTTTGTGGGAAGGCTGGTTGGGGATTCCCACAATGCTCAGTGTTTCTTCTTAATTTACCTTTTTAAGTGTTTATATATCACTCAGCATTTAATCATGAGTCATTATTAATATCTGGTTCTCTTCCACAGTGTGTCTTTATGCTGTCTTCCTACCCTCACTCCCAACTGGTTGCGACAGATAGCTGTACCTCCCTGAGCCTGGTTCTGCTGGAGGTTTATTCTTCCTAAAATGAAGTTTTTCCTCTCCTGTCACCAAAGCCATTGCTCATGGGTTCATATGATTGCTGGGGTTTTCCTCTGTTTTCTCTGTATTACGGTATGGTCTTTACCTTACAATATAAAGCACTTTAAAGCTAGAGTTGTTGTGATTTGGCAATGTATATAATTGAATTGAATAATACAAATATCTGGCACCAACTCAGTGGACCGACACATGTAACCATAGTCAAGACAAGGGTATGGTTGGGCTGATCCACTGGTAGATTATGTGGGAATTCTTATGAGCATAGCTGATACATTAAATAAAGACACAAGTCTATATTTGGAAAATAAATGTGTGTCCCACTAACACACGATGAAACTAACTAATGAGATATTGATTTTTCCGAAGCCTAGCACACAGACAGTAACACAGCCTAGAACAGCTGCTTTAAAAACGGATTATTTTTTAACTAAAGATTAAAAATACAAATCAGGATTATAGGCAATAAATGTCTTCATCATTCTGATATGACTGCAATCATGGATCCATGTCGGTGCTACTCATCATCAGATGAGTCTGATCCTCACTTGATAATTCAAATCAAAACAAATAACGCATGCATGTATACCTGCTCTCATTTTGTTGCCATGATGCCAGGTCTCTCTTGGAAATGAGATTTTTAATCTCAATGAGATTTTTTACCTGGATAAATAAAGGATTAATAATAATAAAATTTACTGCAATATAATTTCCAAAATAAGACAGTGTTCATACATTCAATCAGTAATAAATCTAAAGCTTTAATTACACATAGATTAATATTAATGTCAATAAATGTGAATATGTTCACTGCCAGCTTCCAGCCCTGAGGTCATTTTCCACTTAATGTAAAATCTAGTGACCAGTTATCTAATCAGCAGATACAGTGAGGCAGACAGAGGGAGAGACGAGAAACACACAGGAATATATTTTCACCGAACTCAAATGTGTGAAGTTGGTTCAAGGAAAGGTTTTAATAATTTCCAAATTAAAAAAACAAACAAACTACTGAATCTGTGATGTGAAGCTGCCAAATGGATACAAGGAAGAAAGGTAGGCTTTCCAATAACCATGAAAACATGACAAAGAAAGGATTTGATGTGGTTTCTCTTTGCTCTAGGCACAAAGGCACAAAGGGGAATATTCTCAAGTTGCATGTCAGGCAGGGACTGTGGGAAAATACCTAAAGGTGGAGAAGGAGGAGTTGAACCTTGGGTTTAACTTTAACAATAAAAATCAAACTACCCTACTTACTGTTAGATTTTACTGCACACATGTACCATAAGTTATGTTCAGAAAGTAGGATGAACCAGACACATGCACACACAGCCCTTTTCAAACATGCTTTGCATTGCATTGATATCAGAAAAAGTATAAAATAAGACAAACACAAACAATATGGTGTTAATGATGTTAATTGCTGATATTGTAGCTTCTTTTGACATTTTTTTAATTGTTTTCTGAGTTTATTACACACTTAAAAATATATCTTTATCAATCTGATCCCAATTGAATTTCTGTTTGTTTGTTTTTTATTTTTAAAGGTGGTGCCATAGAATTAAGGCTCATGGTGGTTGGTAGCAGTGGACCTTCTCAGTTCCTACTAACCAATTCCATACTTGGGAGACAGGTGTTTTCTAAGGATGTCACCAGCCTTTCTGGCAGCATAAAGAACAACGGTGAGCTGGCTGGTAGACGAGTGGCAGTGATCAATGGACCAAACATCTATGATAAGGATATATCTAAACCTAAGAGGAAGATGGAGCTAAGGAGGTCCAAGTGCTTATGTATACCTGGTCCCCATGCATTTCTTGTTGCCTTTGACATGGAGAAAATCTCCCCCAATGATGTGAGAACCTCCAGACTGATGAGGGAACGCTTTGGAAGACACTGTCTGAGACACGCCATGGTCCTCCTGGCCTATGAAGGAAATCAGAATAGAGCTGCCTTGGAAGATAGGGTTAAGAAGACAGATTGGCATCTGCGAGAACTCATCGAGAAGTACGGTGGACGCTTTCACCTTTTCAACAAGAACTGGAGAGATCGAAGTCAGGACAGAGAGCTGTTGAAGAAGATAGAGCTGATGGTTGCCTCGTTAGGAGGAGGCTACTTTTCCAGCAGAACTTTCCAGAAGGCAGAGGACTGTGTAAAGAAGGAGGAGAATAAGCTTAGGAAGCAGCGAGCAGCAGAGATAGAGAAGGCATGGGCTGAGATGGAAAAGCAATACATGGAAGAGGAGCTGTACTTCCAGAAGGATGCCTATACGGCTAATATTGGCGCAGAGATTAGAGCTCAAGCGGAGATCGACAACAGCTGGCTCAGGACGTCCCTAGCCAGAGGCCTGGGGACAGGTTTTGTTGTGGGGGCTGTGATGGGTGCGCTGGCTGGGTCTATAGAGGGCCCAGGAGGGATGGTTCTCTATGGGATCATAGGTGGTGCAGTGGGTGGATCAGCAGGGGGAACAGCACAGGTGGCAATAAAGCATATGGACAACAGAATGGCCCCGACTGCCAGACTGAACTTCAACTCAATCTTTATTAACCGCTTCTTTGCAGCTCCTCGTGCATGACATAGGGAACTGACTGATGACCTGATGAAAATAAAAAACTTACTCTTTGTATCCAACTTCTGGTTAGGTAGCTTTCTGACTTACTTGATAACAAACTAGATAGCCGTCTTAAGCCCTCTTTCATCTCAAGAACATATGTGTAGTACGAGAAAACTTGAAAGGTTTCCAGTGGCATCAATTCAAACTGTGACAACCAGTTTAAACTATAAATAGGCCTATTATAAATAAATGAAGCTGTGATTTTAGCACATTTATAGCAGATTTGTGTGAACACTTTATATTCTATTCAACCTCCACCTCTTCCTGGTGCCTTGCTGTGGATTAGTTGAAGTGCAACTCAAATAACATGTAGGGCGGAGTCTTAGCTGAACACGCCATTGTCTAAAGCGCTGCCACTTTCCTAGACAATCCACATACCTCAGTACACCTGTTCAGTGTGAACCAGTGAAGTTTCTGTGTATTATTAACTAAATTAACAAGTACAAGCCATACAGACACCGCTCCTACCCAGAAAAGATCGACTAAGTAAAGGTAAGATCACATTTCCTTTAATACTTTTTAACAAATGTGTCTGTTTTTACAAAGTTACCTGTGTGCTGATTTCATGTTAGTCCTCTCAATCTTTTATGGCCATGTTGCATAATCATAAACTGTTTCCTATGTTACAAGGGAGTACAAGGGAGTCTTTTATGGCCATGTTGCATAATCATAAACTGTTTCCTATGTTACAAGGGAGTACAAGGGAGTCTGAACTGAGGATTGCACATTACATTAAAACGATCTTGAGAATTTAGTGAGTTCATTTTTGTTTTGAGTAGTAGCTTCCTCATGACACAAGAAAACTATTTGGCAAATACCAGTTTGACTGCATATTTTGCTGCCTCTGTTTGTTATCTATCTGCTGGTGCTCACACTGGCTGTGACAGTGGCAATCAAAACACGCAGAGATAGAAAGAGATAACGGGGTAAAGTTCAACAGCAGGGCATTAAAGTATAATCATGTCCAGCTGTTTCTGCCTCTTTAGTCTGTGTAGAATGAGAGTAATCCATTCTGTATGAGAACACAATGTTAAAACATGACGCCCTGAATTCCAGTGAAAATATTTCTGCCATGAGTAAATCCGCCTTCTCTCACGCGAAATGTGAGCTGAATCCTGAATTTTTACTGTTGTTTAATTAACAAGCATGGATTTTAAAGTCAAACCTTAAGTATCTGTGTCTAAAATCTTGGGTTGTGGTGGTACTAATGTGTCTGAAGTGTGATTAGAAAATATCCCACAGGTCATTGCACCAACACCACCAACCTGAACTGTTGATGCAAGGGAGTGCGGATCCATGCTTTTGTTTACTCCAAATTCTGATTCTAACATCTGAACATGGCAGCAAAGTGAAACTGAGAGTCATTTGTCCAGTCTTTTATTGTCTAATGTTGGTGATCCTGTGCAAACTGTAGCCTCCGTTTCCTGTTCATGGTTTACAGAAGTGGCACCTGGTGTGGTCTTCTGCTACTGAAGCCCATCTGCTTCAAGGAGATGCTCTTTTGCATACTTTGGCTGTAAAAAGTAGTTATTTGAGTTATTGTTGCCTTCCTTGAAGCAGTCTGGTCATTCTCCTCTGACCTCTCACTGGATACAATCTCTTTTTCAGACCATTCTCTGTAAAGCCTAGAGATGGTTGTGCAGGAAAACCCCAGTAGCCCAGGGTGATTTTCTGCCAAGTACTATGCTACATTGAATGTCATTTAAATTACGTTCTTCCCCATTCTTATGCTCAGTTTCAACTTCACATCATTCTGACTATTTCTACATGCCTAAATGTATGAGTTGCTGCTATGTGATTGGCAGATTAGATATTTATGTTGACGAGCAATTAAACGGACTCACCTAACAAAGTGGCCAATCAATGTATGACTAATACACTTGAAAATTCATAAAACATACGATAAGCATCTTGTAATATGAGTAACAGTGACTAGTACTTTTGATACTTGTGTACCGTCATAGTGCGCAAGTAAAATCCTGGATGCAGGATTGAGCATTTACACAATTATGTATTAAAAACACAAATCTACTTTATAGTACTTTATAGTACTTTTAAGTTTGGACTGTTAACAAGATGGTTTCATTGCATTTGTTTATCAAACGACTTCTGTTGGCACTTCTCACTTACTCTTAGGTATCACTTTTGGTTTAGTCTTTGCTTTACTATTCAAACACAACACTCCCTTAAAAGACTTCGATATGCACAGCAGGAAAAAGCTGTGTTTCTTACTTTTTCTGACATAATTTCTTTTTCAGATTATGGCCTCTACCATCTGCTTGCTCCCTGAGAAGCACTTCTTGTGCTTTCTGTGTAGGGACATCTTCACCAGCCCCGTAACCATACCATGTGGACACAGCTTTTGCTTGTCCTGCCTGTCCAAATACTGGACACGACATCAGTTGAAATACTGCCCTCACTGCAGGAGACTGTTCACAGACAAGCCTGACCTCAGTGTCAACCACATACTGGCAGACATATCTGAAAACTACAGGAAGTCTCGACCACAGAAACCACCAGATGAGGAAACGGTACTCTTTTGTCTGTTATCTAATAACAGGTAATCTAATCTAATAAATCTAGTGTATTTTTGTGTGCTGATGCAAATCGTTTGCACATTCACAGGTTATAGATGTTAACCAAATGATTCAGGAAAGGGTGCAGAAGATAGAAAGACTGAAATACTCTCTCGGGCTACAAAAGGTGAGTGGAAATATCTATAAAACTTAAACATGTATAACATAATTTATATTTTTTCTTCATTTTCCTTTGATCTGTACATCATTAAATTATGTTGCTGTCCAATCAGAACTCTTACCTCAGAGAGGTGCGAGAGAGTCAGAAGATCTTCTCTGCACTTGTAAATGCTATGGAGAAGAGCCATAAAGCTGTTGTTGCTGCAATTGAGGAGAGGCAGAGAGAAGAGGAGAGCAGGGTAGAAACACTGGTCAAAGAGATCGAACAGGAGATTGAGGAGCTGAGGAAGGAGACCAAAGAACCGGACCCTCAGATCTCTGGTGATCAGAGTGACGACTTGAAGCGACCTGCCAAGGTAAGTTATCTCCATCTACTGCCAAATGCATGATGATGATGATGATGTGATTTGAAGCATAATTGTAAAATCTTTCCAACACTGCGAATGCTATTTAGCCCTGTGAGATGAAGGACTGGTCCAAGGTTACCATAGAAACTGATCCTTGTATTGGAGTCACCAGAAGAGCACTGTCAGACGTGTTGGAACAAATAAAGTTAGAAGTCAACAGACTCTCCAAAGCTGGTGGGTGGTGCTGTTTTAATCTTGCGTGCATCATATCAATCTTAAAAGATAAATTCATTGACATTCTTTTTTTCCCCCCCTGTTGTTCGTTTTTAGAACTTAAGAGAATCGAGAAATACTCAGGTAAGGTTCTCGCTGTGCAGAAATACATTTTATCAACTTTACAAAAATGATTAGGGATTGAAGATTATTTTTGTGGATAATATCAAAAATATAACCATAATTCAGCTTCATTTTGAGTTCAAAATGTAACTGCATGAATTTTCAGCTGTTGTGAATAGCTGAAAATGAACTGTTTGACTAATTCTTGACTTTTTGCTCTTTTTCTCCTTTCTTTGCTCTTTTTTCTTTTTAGTGGATGTTAACCTAAGTGCTAAAACAGCAAACCCTTTTCTTTGGGTCTCAGATGACAGAAAGCAGGTGAGGCACACGGATAAGCTTCAGGAAGTACCGGAGAACCCCAAGAGGTTTGACAGAGTGGGAAATGTTCTGGCCAAAGAAAGCTTCGCTGGCGGGAGGTGCTACTGGGAAGTGGAGGTTGGGGAGAAGATAGAATGGACCCTAGGTGTTGCCAGACAGTCCGTAAACAGGAAAGGCAAGTTCACAGTGTGCCCTGCAAATGGTTTCTGGACCTTAAGCCTGAAAGCTGGAGGCCAGTACATTGCAAACACCTCTCCTGTCACCCAGTTGGCTCTAGACCAACGAATCAAGAAGTTTGGAGTGTTTCTGGATTACAACGAAGGTCGTGTGTCCTTCTACTGCGCAGACTCTGGAGTCCACATTCAGACCTTCACGGATAAGTTCACAGATCGGCTCCATCCATTCTTCAGTCCTGGTCGCATGCATGGAGGCAGAAATGCAGCTCCTCTAGTCATCTGCTCAAGTTTTTGCAACATCTAAACCTCATTCCAGTTTAAAAAGAGTTACTTGTTGGTTCTTGTTATCTCCTTAATATTTATCTAGTGTGATTAATGTGTTTATTTATTTACAAAGCTATTGAACAATGAGCCACATTTTCCCTGCCAGAGCAGGCTACTGAACAAGATGGTGCAAAAGGACTACGTCAGTACACTTGAAAACTTCAATGAAACGCATAAACAGACTGAAAAAAGAAAAAAGTGTGGCAGTAAATAATAGATGGCTGTCATAAATGAACAAGTGAGTGAAAGTAGAAAAAAGAGGATTGCTGAGTTGGATGGATGCGCGGGGCTGCAGGGTTGGGACAGAGGTTGACGAGAAGCAGGGAAAGCGGGGGGGAGGGCACAGTAAAACAGCAGGGCATTGTGCCCGTACACCAGGCACTGGGAGACACACTCAAACACATTCACGCATTCACACACCGACACAGTCGTGCACAGAAGTGCGTGCTTCAGCCCACCGCCACACAGACACACTGGCATCTCGCAGGGCAGCCCCATCTCCAGTCCTGTCCTGGGTGTTGGAGCTGAGAGACAGAGAGCCTCCCCTGCTCTCTGGCCTTCCTGTTGACTGAACTGAATTCTCAGGGCTGTCATTCACAACTTCAGGCATTCACAGCTCAACTACAAAACCTACGGAGCTTCAGGCAAACCGTAAACTGTGAATCATCTCCGAGAGGAGCAGTGAAAGTTCAGCGACCTCTATTTCAGGTAAATATTCCTCATAATAACCATTTCATTAATATTGTTTGGACATTTCCAAATGTCAGAAATGTCTTCACTATGGCTCAAGAGCAAATTTATGCGATGTGCTTTGTTAGTTTGTTAGTTTCCAACACATGTATGCACTGGAAGTGGCTTTTCTTCCGTTGTGTTATCTGCAAAACTTCCTAGGAATGAAATGGACATTTTAGTAATGAGCTCTGGGAATATTCCAGGGCCCTCTGTTATTTTAATATGGTTTATCCACTGTCATCTGCACCAAACAGCACAATAATCTTTCAGAATTAGTTTTACTGGAGTCAAAACTCAAACTAAATAACTGAACTAAATAGTAAAATGCATCCCATTGGTCCTCAATGTCCTGCTGCATATGTTTCGATCTTGTTATGAATGGATCGTATAAACAGTATTAGTAAAATTGTAGCTGTAACAAACAGAAGACACAGGTTCTCCTGGCCCACTCTACAGGCTTTCATGAAAGCTGCTTGTGTTCCGAGTCTCCTCATGTTTTTCTGAGATAATCCACCACCCGGCAAGGCGTAGCTCGACACCCACAGTCATGTCAAAGAAAGCTATTCTCTGCAGTTCTTACTGGAATCCAACAGGCCTCCCAGCCTGATTCCAAATATTTATGATAACTATATGCTCCAATAGTCTTTTCATACTTTACTAATGTTATGCTAGTGGTTGTTGTGGTAAATAACAACAGCATGTGATGTAATATCCAGTGTGTCTCTGAGAGTTTTCTTGCGCTGCTTGTTTGATTACTAAGAGAATAACCAGGCTGGTGCGACTATTTTATGTTTTGTTAATTTTAGGATATCAATCCACATCAAACTGACCTCATCGACGCCATCATCCACAGACGGCGGAGTGGACCACGGCATTTCGAGCAACATAGACTGTCACATTTCTTTGTGGGACTATAAGTTTGGCCTGTGCAGAGACTAATATATCAGAGACAAGTCCATCTGTCTTTCGCCATGGCTACCACGGGCATGCAGTTGCTGGGTCTGATCCTTTCCATCGTGGGCTGGGTGGGTGGGTTAATAGTTTGTGCCATCCCCCTGTGGCGGGTCACCGCCTTCATCGGTAACAACATAGTGACAGCTCAGATCATTTGGGAAGGCCTTTGGATGAATTGCATAGTGCAGAGCACAGGTGAGATCCAGTGTAAGGTGTACGATAGCTTGCTGGCTCTGCCCAGCGACATGCAGGCCGCCCGCGGCCTCACTGTGTTGTCCATCCTGCTCTGTGGCCTGGCTCTGGCTCTGGGGGTCCTAGGAGTCAAGTGCACTAAATGCATCGGCGTAAACAGCCTTAAAGCCCGCATTGCTCGCATTTCTGGCTCCCTTTTTGCCATCGCGGGGTTTCTTTACCTTGTGCCCGTCTGCTGGACTGCCCACTCCATCATCAGGGATTTCTATGATCCACATGTGGCAGCTCCACACAAGCGTGAGCTCGGCCCTGCCCTTTACATCGGCTGGGGGGCGTCAGCCTTGCTTCTAATTGGGGGGTCACTGCTCTATGCGGGGTCAAGTCCTCCCGGAATCCCAGGCTCTCCCACTTTCAGCAGTGGAGAGAGCAGTCCACGCAGGGCACCTGCCACACAAGTCAAAGGTTATGTCTAATGTCTGAAGGCCTTCCACAAATCCACCCCGAATGATGTCAAACCTGTCTTTTCTCCTCTTGACATTGATTCATGTAATTATTTTTTATTAAGTGTCACTTTTCTTTTGTTGTCTTGAGAAACGTCACAGGAGGCTGAAAACTGAACTTGTTTTATTATGTCATACCTGATACCCTTCAATAACACTCTTTCTCTGTCTGCCAGTTAAATACAATAAACGTTGTATGCTCTGTGGAGGAAAAATGGTGTGTGTTTACATTTGTACCATTACATATATTAAAGCTCCTCAAAATACTTGTTTTACAAGGAAAAACCTTTGAGTCATTTATGTAAACACTACGAGGGGTTCTGCTGAATGGAGAAGAACAATAGAACAATGGAGATGTGTGTGCATTAGCATGTGGTGCCATATTTTTCAGTGTGTGTGTGTGTGTGTTGTCCTGTCTTCCATCTCATTTTCCTTATCTGAGTTACTCTATACGGTGGGAACAAAGAAAAATACATGATCCTTTTTTCACTTCATAAAGATCCTGCTATTTCTTCTAATAAAATCACACATTGCTCCAGCAGATAACTGTATGATAACAAGCAAAAACCAGATTGAGCCTGAATCACTATCTGTCTTTGCATGTGTTCATGTAGTACAATTCCAAGCACCATCTTTATTCATGAGATATTATCCTTGTTCTTAAACCTGATTGATTGCACTGTAGGTGACTGTACATATAATCGTAGTTGTGCGGGCATGCATTAATCTATCAGTTCCTTTGCTTCTGTCTGTGACAGCAGAAGACAGAGCAACACAATGCCACTCTATAGAGCATTACAGCACCACAATAACAATAGCCACTAGTGTTCCAAGTGCCAGGTAGTGACTCACACATGACCTAAGTAGGCCTTTACCAGTGCTGGTAGAGTAATGATGTGAATACTGTAAGTCTGTGGTATTTTACTGTACGCTTACAAAGAGGACAACAGAGGGAGACGAGTGCACTAGTTACATTGTAAATAATGAATAGAGTGCTTCAAAGTGTCTTCGAGGTATGGTGTCAATGCAGTTCTTAACAATGACAGTAACAAAGAGTTAACACAGAAGTTGATTGCATGAAAGTGAACTAATGAGTGTATCATTTACAAGGAGGCGATAACTGCACACGTCACTGATGCATTTGAGACTTTGGGCAACACTGATCTGTGTCCAGTTCATCTCAGATCTGCTTTCTAGAGCTCTAGAGTTCCCTGAGTAAATACAAACACTGATAATTGTCTGTGAAGTCTTTTGGTGTGAGTGCTGTAGTATGTGTGAAGTGGGGTATATTTCTTTTCTCTTTCCTTAGGCTGTAAAAATCAAGGGTACATGTGCAGAAAATGTGAAATAAAGACAAACAAACAAAAATGATATTGGGATTTGGTTGTTTCCAAAGTCAACATAACCTTAAAATAAATGTAGCCTAATGAATTGAAGAAAAAAGAAACGTTTTTCCTAAAGATATTTTCATAATCGCATAAGTGTGTTCAAGTTTTAACATAATTTAAAACCACTTTCTTAAAGTCAGATTCTATTCATCGTTCCTCCATTTATCCGATTCAAGTTCTGGCTGGCTGGAGCCCATCTGTCTTAGGTGCACTCTGGACAGGTCACCAGTTCCACATAGGAAGGCCCCAGTTGGCCTGTGGATTTGAACCCAAGATGTTGCTGCTGTGATCATCACATCATCATCATCACCCTGCTGCCAAAGTCAGATTCCTACATGCAAACTCTTACTCAGATAGAAGGTATCAAGAAATAACTCACTGTTTGTCTGTGTTAGACCGTTACATAAAACTGGAGGATTTTGATCATGCTTTTAAGTGATTTGCTGCATGTCAAAATGTCCTGGAGTGCAGAAAGATGATCATGAAAATCAAAACTGCCATGGGTGTTTAATTACATTTTTGGATGTTATTGTGCCTTGAGCACCAACTGATACACATCACTTTACACTTATGAAAGTTAAATTTGCTTTATCAAAGAGCATAATTCTTCTTGTTCTTTTGGCTGCTTTCTTTAGCGAAGAATCTTCTCTTTTCCCTCTGCCTAGCATCTCCATATTCAGTATCCTTTGTCTTATATAGCCACTATCGGTCCTCTGCACGTGTCTAAATCATGTCAGCCTTGTCTATAAACTGCTCAACATGAGCTGCCCTGTCAGTATTGCCTCAGAACCAGTCTCTACTGTAATTCCACCCTCACCTTAAACCAATCTGTCACTCCTACCACACATCTCATCAATGACTTGCTGATAATGCATATTTTTATTTAGATTTCTAAAGCGGCAATCACCATGTCAAGGTTTCGCTTAACAATAAATCAATCAATAAATCAATAAATAAATTCAATAAATTAAAAATAATAATAAAATGCAGCCGTAATTGCGCATACTCGCCGCGAGAGGGAGACATTTCATGCGTGTCGCTGTTTCTGCGACGGAAGTGGGAAGTCAGAGGAGGCTGTACCTGCTGTACAGCTGTGCTCCGTGGCTAACAGCTAACCTCCGTTGTGAAAGTATCGGGATCCGCTAATTAAATAAGTCATCTCGACAGCCACTCTGAGACTCTGAGTTTAACATGGGAAAAGGTGGAGGCACATTTGAGAGGCTTCTCGGTAAGTTAACAGCACATGCGTAAGTTGAGAGTAAAATTAAGCAACTATAAGGCAGAGTGCGATGTTTTCCAGCGTATTGTTTTGACAGTCGATCGGGCTGTGGCTCCCAGGCCAGCTAGCTTTTTTTCCCCTAGCCTGCTAACAAATTCGCTGCTATTGTTCGAAGGCCAAGAAATGCTAAGAAGTTAGCTGAAGCGAACAGTTTTGGTCCAGTGTTATCGCCTTGCTTTTAGTTAAGCTAACCAACGCTGTTGTTGTGTTCCTGTTTCATACACGGTAATATACGATTAGCTGTTACTTCACACATTAACTACCCCATATCCAAGGAAACCAGGCAGACAAACACAACGCTGGTATTCGTGAGGCGCTCTGTTGTCCTGAGTTTTTTTTTTTTTTTTTAAAGACCACAACAGGTTAATTAGTTCGCTGACACCTGTCTATAATTAGCGACTGGGATACTTTGTGATCCACGTATAGACCTACGCTAACGTCAGATGGCTAATAGTTGTTTTTACTCCATGACTAATCATAGAAAACAAGGCGTCTCTGTCATAGCATGTTTCAACAGTTACCTTGGTTTAAAACGAGTCCCAAGTGAATTTCCAGTTATGCAACAACAAGTTTTTTGGGCTACAAAGATGAGCAGGTTAACTAGCGAACCTGGATGAAAAATGTATACACCCAGTAAATGTCAAATTATTTTGTGAAGTGTCAAATGGATACGCAGCTGTGCATATTGATTACTATTAAACAATTTTCAGACATTTTAGGTCTCTTTAGTTCAGCTGGAGAGTTTTGCCTGCTCTGCCAATGTAACCAGTAATAATTTAATATTTGAGGTTATAAATCGTGTGTTTGATTCTTCTCACCAGTGATGGAAATGGTTTCAGAATTTGAATCCATTAAATATAATTCCTGCCGAACTTATCGTTGCAGTCCCAACTTGTTTTTCTCAAGGATTCAAGGGTTTTTACTCCATTTCAAACGTGTGTATTCACATGAGGTGAAACTAAATGTAGCACTCAGGTCCCTGTTTAACGCCAGCAACAATGAGAACACACAAGAGAACAATATACAGAAACAAGGAAGAGAAAACATATTTACAGTGTCATAGAGAATGAATAATCATTTTTTAAGGGTATGGAGGATATTGCAAATGCACAATTGGTGTCTTTGTTATGATTGGCTAGGAGAAGTAGACACAGAAGCAGTCTAAAAGCATGGTGGTTCTGCTCTTGATACTCTGTGGCCTCCTGCCTGAGGGGAGGGGAACAAACACTGCATGTGCTTGGTGAGTGGGGTCTTTCAAAATAGAGGAGGCCCTTTTCCTGTATCTGCTGGCATAAATGTCTGTAGTGATGGGGAGGCCCTCAGCAGAGGCGTTTTCTCTGCCGTCCTCAGGACACTCTTTCCCCACAAATCTGCAGAATAGGTTTAAGACTGCGATAACAAGTTCCCTGTACTGCAACCTCCTGAAAAAGTGGAAGCGTTGGTGTTGGTGTCTTAACCAGGACGGAAATGTTGTGACACCAGATAGGGTTTTCAGTGAGATGTACACTAAAGCTGGTGACCACTTCCACAGTTGTTCTACTGATTTGCAGGGGCGGAAGCTAGTCTTTGTCCCTTCTAAAAAGCACACTCATCTCCTTTTTTTTTCTTGAACTTGATGCAGAGATACTACACCTGCACCGCCTCTGCAGTTGTTTACCCCCTGCCTGTAGTCAGAATCATTGTTGTTGTTGAAGCATAAATTTTACCTGACGTTCAAAGTATAGAAGCAGATAAAAAAAAAAAAAGTCTGAACTGAGTAACGCACACCTCTAAACCTATGATCAGATTCGCAGTTTTATAGCAGATGTCATGTGTATTTAAAACATTTAATCTTTTTAAAGATATTTAACTCAAAATTAAACCACCATTATGTGTGGGTGATTGCTGAATTCACAGCACACATCCTTCAGTTTGACATGTAATAAAATGATATTTGGTTCCTAAAAATTGGGCAGTTTTTTTTATTTTATGATTTGCAAACAGGTCGTTTGTTGTGCTGAAAGTTGGATTAGGTTCCACTTGTATTTAGAAATGCAAATCAAGACCAGGTTTCATCTACTAAATGCATCGCAATCATATGCCAAACAGGATTATCACTTCGTGCTATCAGTACTTTCCTGTTTTCCCCGCAGTTCCGCAGGGCATAACAAATGTCAGATCCAGGACTGCAGCGCTTTGGCACACCTGAATCATATGCAAGGCTATTTTCTTTCTGACAGCTGAACTCACGGAAGCATCTGTAGCAATAAAATATTTTTAGTTATCCCTGCTGATGATGATATAATAAATAAGTAGATCTCTATTATATCATTAAGGTTTGACACCTCAAACCTTTTGTGTAGTAATAGTTTGATATCATACAAAGATCGATCTGGAGTCCTACGTTAATAGCAGGAGTACAGATGTTTCTATAAAGCTTAAAGCATGTGGAAGAAGCGTTTGTTCATGTGTAACTGCCGGTGCAGTTTTGTGGAGCTGCTGTTGTAGATGCCATTTGACAGACATGCATGTTAAAGCTTTCTGTACTCATGCAGATAAAGCCACCAGTCAACTTCTTCTGGAGACTGACTGGGAATCCATCCTGCAGATC